CTACGTATGTAATTGTGTGAATATGGATCCCTATGTCATGAAAATTGTAAATGTGACTTAGAGATGTAAGCAAAAACCTTCCAAAAAAAAAAAAAAACACCCTTAGTAGATATTTTTCAACTTCAGTTAGTAAAGAGAATTTTTGGTGCAAATTTCTCTATTTTTTACTTTTTTATTATCTATTAAGATATACTTTTTCATAATTTTAATGTAGATGAAACCATTTTAGTTAAAAAAAATATCATTATAAATCTTATTATAAAATTATTAACATCAATTTAAATATGATTATAATTTAGAATAAACAAATATGTTAGAACAATTTATTAAAGTTAGTTAAATTTCAATATTTTATAAAATTATTAAATTCAAAATTTTCAGATATGATTGACAAATAATTAACAAATCAATATAAATAAATATTTTAGAATACTTTCATAAATCTAGTTTAAAATTTTAATACTATTATAAATATTGTAATAAAAATTATTAAAACTATTAAATATGATTTTTTAAATACAATTGACAAATAATTAACAAATAGACATAAATAAATATTTTAGAATAAAAAAAAGCTAGAGAAAATTCATTATATGTTTTATATTGCTAGATTTAGCGGAGTTTCCTCTAGTTTTTGTATTTATAATATTCTCTACATTTATACTATATATAAGTTTAGGAAAATAAATTAATACTATCATTATCTATAATATATTAAATATCACATCAAGTGTGAATCATTTTTTGGACGATTTTAACTCCACTACCATTCAATTATTTCAATAACACCTTACTTTCGTTTTTCAATGTCTAATAAATATTACAAATTTCTTATCATGTATGAATTTCGTATTATTAATTCACTATTAATTAACATTCAAATTAATTTTGAATTATTGAATTTCGTATTATTAATTCTCAATTAATTAACATTCACATTAATTTAGACTCAATGAATCTTAATCTACATGAGTCTAGAGTTATTATAGATAAATTTATTTATATTCATGTATATAGGAATTTTAATGGGTGTTTAAATTCATGTATTAGCAATTAATTCTTATATATCAAATATAGTATAAAAATGTTGCTCATTTGTAATATTTCATCGTCACAAAAAATTTGAATCAAAGAAATTGAGTCTTAAGAGCACAAATTTTCTTTTATTAAATTTTTATCCTAAATTTGTTGCAGCAGTGGCACCCATGTTCCACGCGACAGTGTGCATCCAGCTGTCGGATGCGGTGTTGTAGTGCCGCTCAAAACCATTTAAAAAAAAAAAAAAACTGAAATCTGAATTATGTGCGGAATTTTTTTCAAATTTAACAAAAATAAATCCAGATTACTAAATTCGAAAATAACAAAATTATCAAAAGAAAGAAATTAAAATTTCGATTCTCAATGATTCAACATAAGGAGGCTCTGATACCACTTGTTGAAATTTTTCATGAATCTTAAACTTTATAAATTGTACATAATTGTCAAGATCTTCGTGTCAAATTACCAAGAAATTTAATTAACGTGAAACATACCTTGATCCATTGGTTTGTATATTGGATAATGAATCTTGAATCTTGATATTTTGTTCTTCAATTTAATTGCTCTAAACCTTATTCTTGATTCTTGATTGTGGGTTTATAGATCTTCCTCTTCAATATGCTTTCTTTTGTATTCTTCTGTTGATGGGATGACACAAAGTATGAGAAATTCTCATATGAATTGGGAACAAAAACCCTAAATATAATTGAAGAAATTACACCTACACCTGGAATTAGATTTCCAATTTCATAAATAAGATAACAAGTTTAACATTTCAAAAATCAGGTTTTAATTAATAATTTAAGAATATTTTTTTATTTTTATTTTTATAAATTATATCTAATCAAACCCTAATATTTTTTTATTTTTATATAATTATATCTAATCAAACCCTAATATTAATACGAAGAAACCGCCATAAGTCACCCATTTCCACCCTCTCTCAATGTCTAGCCGTCTCCACTCTCTCCACCCCTCTCTATCTTTCTACCTACTGATCAACACAACCTTAAAGCAGGGCCCTCAGCCACCAACAACTTGGGGCAAGCCTTGCCCTTA